GTTCTGACAGTCTTTACCTAGCTTGCACCGCTTACAAATTGCACGGGTAGCTGCACTTTGTGATCCGCTCCGGGAGTGCCGATTTATGGAATATATGCTCTCAACTGGTTATGCATACCAATGTATTTAGCATTTGGCGGCTCTACTCAAAGCCATTGGCAGCTCTACTCAGAGTCATTGGCGGCTCCATGCGGAGTCATTGGCGGCTCCATGCGGAGTCATTGGCGGCTCCAAGCGGAGTCATTGGCGGCTCCAAGCGGAGTCATTGGCGGCTCCATGCGGAGTCATTGGCGGCTCCATGCGGAGTCAATTTGCGGCTCCATGCGAGGTCATTCGGCGGCTCCATGCGGGGTCATTCGGCGGCTCCATGCGAAGTCATTCGGTGGCTCCATGCTGAGTCATTTGACGGCTCCAAGCGGAGTCATTTGCTGGCTCAGCTGCGAGCCATCTAGTGGCTCCAAGCAGAGCCATCATACCTGTTGCTCGAATCGGCACTCCCAGCTTAATCCAAAACTCGGTTGCTCTGTTGTGAGGTGGGGGGATGCTAACCTAGGAATGGGTTTGCTCCCCACACTGGAGCTCGCGCTATTCCGTCGACTTGACACTTGCCGGACTCACGACTGCCATCCAGAGTCGCCACCACTATTTCTAAACCATACGGCTAATTATTTTAGTTAGCTATCCACTTACCGGTACAGTAAAGCCTGTGACTACCGACCACCCCTTGGTGCCAGCAAAAGCGGTCTTTAGTAGCAGGTGGTCTTTAGTTAAAGGTTTGCACCGCTTGACCATAATATGTGGATCCCATTATATGATATGTATGTCAAAATGCAGCTAATACAATTCCCCAGGACTTGCGCAATGTCATTCTTATTTCAGGTCAAACAACACTTGGAGAGAAAGACGGAGAGATGGAGAGAGAGACAGAGAGAGAGAGAAGATTAATTTTTTGCAGACTTCAAATTCAGCTGACGGCAGGAGTCAAACGTTCCCTGGGGAAGTTTCGTTTTGCGCTGGGCTTCAAATTTGTTCATGCGATCAATCGTACCGAATGTCCTTGTTGTGACTTCTCGGTTGCTTGAACGCGATCCTTCAGCATCAGGACCTTGTGGTGCTGCTTTGTTTCTGGATTCCTTGATGCCATCGTCGATCCGTCTGTATGACTGGGGTGACAGAGCCGCTCAGTCTTCGTTTCTCCTCCGAGTAGTAACATCGAGCAGAGAGCGCTTTCGATGCGCTCTCAAAGACGTTTCCTGTCATGTTTATTCTTGACAGCGCTTGAAATTCTGACAGGTGTAGTGCAGTCCACACCGACTCCACAGTCATAATGGCCTGCGTTCATTTGTTCAGCTGTAGTATCGAAATATTCCTTTCAGGACCATGGAAAATCAGTAAAATTTCAGGAAGGAGCTTCGAGCAACATTTGATTTCCTACATCGCGGTCGCTAGTTACGGGTCAAAAATTGTCTTTGGGACAGGAAAAGGCGGTCGCTGGTCGCATTCAGCAGGTAGTCGCTAGTCACAGCGCATTTTGAATGTGAGACCGTCCGTGCCTGGCCAAGTGGTTGGTAGTACCAGGCTGGTCGCTAGTCACGGTGGTCTTTAGTTACAGGTTTTACTGTATATCCCTTGCCGAAATTGTATTCTTGAACGCAATATTCTTCTTTCTTTTTCTTCTACTCCGTTCCATCAGCACTCGGCCGATGGCAGGAGATTGGCACCCACTGGGCTAGCATGCAGCAGCCAAAGCTGGGGCCTTTTCTTACTCCGTCAAACCCACTTCTTAAAACGAAACTGACGTGCATATTCACATTGCATGCTGTGAATGTCCCCATATTTGCCCCGACATCTTAGCTCGTACAGCGCTCCAGATGCATCTATGCTATGGTGCGCACCACATACTCGAATTACGGTACGGGACACATACGGGATACTGCACCAACCATGGCATGCCACGTGAACCACCCTACCAGGCACCGGGACACGCACCGAATTATAGCGGTGTGGATACTGGCTAGCACCAGATGCTACTAAAGTACAACTGAATAGCGTCTTTTGCATAGCTACGGGAATAATCTCATATCCCAAGCATTGCAGCTCTGCTAATAGAATAATTCAGGTTACTCCCACTCCATTTCTCTAGTGCTTATTTTCTGAAAAAATTATCATCTCTGGCACCAGAATGCTGCCACCAAGAGTACATTAACCAGTGTGTGCAGCCCAAGGAGAATCATCCCACGGCAAAGTTTATTGTTTAGGGCATAGACTCGCAGTAACAGGCTCACCTTTGCTGCATCTCACACCGCTTCACACGGTCATCTACTCTATCACCATGGAAATTTCTGTTGCACATTGCTGCTTGTTAAACAAAAACGTAGAAAACACACCGAATTTCCAGGAATTACCATGGTGATACGGTACTTTAGCTTGAACCTATTGTATGACGGATTTTCTATGATTCATAATGACCCAGGGAATAACTAACAGTTAGCGACGCAATTCTTCTGAGGTGTAAAGTGACTTCAGGAATACATGTATGTTGCAGAAAACTGCGATGCATGCTGATTATTTACTGTGCCCTATTGTGCACCATATACCTGGTGGGTTACCCAGGGATACAGTAGATGCACACAAGTACTGTGCATCACAGCACAGGCTAGGTTCGCAACTAGCTGCTACAGTGTACTTGTGGTACGAACTTGCACTCTACTCAGCTCTGCATACGCAAAGAGTGCTGGTGCCGAAATGAACCAGAAGGGTGCTGAGTGGGACGCAACAACACTGACTCTGTATACCCATGTACACAGATATGGTAGGGTATTCAGTACCTGCTCTAAGATTTCACACAAACCGGGTACACGTCTACCTGGCACAACTCCTGCAACACTGGGCAAGAGCCAGATGCGTTCAAGTGCGGCTACTGTGTGTCAGGGAGTCGTAAAATTACTTTCGACTTCCTGATGTACATGATTGTATATGTACATGACCCTTGTATGAACGTACTCGCACTGGGCACTCTGGCCGCACGCATCTGCACGCGTATGCAGCCTGTCAGTGGCGGTATACCCCTCGATAGGGCTCAAACGGTCACGGTTTTACCCCTGACGGTTAACTGCTAAGCTAACGGTCGGTTAACCGGTTATAACCTATAAGCCACGGCAATCCTGCGGACTCTTTTTTAACCGTGTATTTGACTATACTCATTCAAAAAATGTACCCTATTCAGTACAACGCACACATGTACATTCTCTTGCATGCTCATTCATACATACTCTCACACCAAGAGACCAGATATGACCGAGTTGACAGCCCAGAAATTGCGTACGCGTGCGACAGCCCGCGAAAGTGCACACTTTGCAACGACCTGATACTTGAAAAATTGACTGAAAAGTTACTGCGTAACCGTTATCTTTATCGGTTAACCGCTAATACTTCGTAACCGGTCTGCAACCGGTTAATCGGACTAATCGTTTGAGCCCTACCCCTCGAAGTATAAAATAATATAGACTCAACAGGACTTCCAACCGGGTCGCAGGTAACCCAGTGTTCTTTTTCCAAAAGGTCCAAGTACTCACAAATAGGGCCACTGACCCGGCTCTGGAGCAGACACTGGTAATCTAGGTCCAAGTTTGCTCGATTTCGTTCTGACGCTTCATGTGCTTTCATAGCCAAGGTTTCTCACTTTCTTCGCAAGCTCTTTTAGTCTTGAGAGTTGACAACTGCTTATGGTTGTGTTGGCTGAAACATGTCAGCTAATCTGACAACCGTCCAACCCCATTTTACTGGTAAGTAGTCAGCGAGTGGCTTTGATGGGGCCATACTAGAGGGAAAGTTACGCGGCATATTTGTGCTTCCTTTTTGAAAACACGTTCTCGCACGAAGGGTTTCTAAACTTTATCTCTGCGCTCATTGATGGATTTCATCGATGGAGTTGCCAGCAGCACCCTACAGAAGAACAATGTTGTCAAGTTTTTTATGAAAATTGTCAAACATTTTCAAATTGCTATAAGTTTGGTTAGGGCCGGGTTCCACTGCGGCTCCGCAGCTCCGCTGCTCCACAGTACTTGGCTGCATGCAGCAGAGCGGCGCGGTTCCAGTGACACTCGCTATTCGCGGTACCGCGATCGTGCTCGACGTTTTTGATGACATTTAGCCCGCCTGCGCGCTCGTGAAATCCCAAAAAATCCTCGTGTTCTGCCGGGCCTGTGCAACGAATTAAAACTCCCCCGTATAAAACAATTAATTAAGTGCGGGAAACAATGCAAGCCGTGACCGCGGCTTGCATTTTTTGTATCAAGCAGCGAAGCGAAAGCTGGTGATGAGCCGCGGCCTCGCTGGACCAGCTCGTAATGATGACATTTCATGCCGTGGATGTGCGGCGGAGCGGCAGTGGAACCCAGCCCTTAGGCAAAGGAAATTTGTCATGAATTTGTTTATGCTGCATAGATGGAGAGCTGGACACTCTGGCTTATGGACTCTACAGTGTAGTCGTACTGCTAGTGTACTGGCATTAGACTATCACATGCAGTATACTGTCTGGCAAGAGGACTCAGGAGGGAATATTAGGACTGACAGAAGACACGAAAAACGAGAACATAATTATGGCGAGAAAGTAATTACTGGCTAAGAATTGCCCTAAGACTTACCGCTTCTCAGTGCTCCATACCAGGAAGTAGTACAATACCTACTCCCTGCTCCATACGAGTGTTTTCTCCTCATTCTCTGCATCCTTTACCCCAGGAGTCTCGTCCATTTAGCGGCTCAAATGCTTGAGCTCCGGATAGCGGAAAATAGCTCGTCGTCCATTAGCGGCTCTAATAGTACCTGGTCTGAAGTGTCGCAGTCTAGCAACTATGATTTTTTCCAGGAGGGTAAGGGTTGCAAACCCAAAGAGACCCTAAGCTTCGTCTATCAAACAAAACAATTGCCCTAAAAAATGGAAGAGGAAAAGAGTAAGCGAGCTGGTCTGAGCGCGCTACTTTTCAAAAAATATAGAAGCTGAAAGCCATCAAAGTCAAAGCATTCTGGCTAGCGCGTTTGTAGTATGTCAAGAGCGCTAGCTAGCGCGCTACGCCGCTAGTCGCAGCAAACTCTCGCAGGCCAGAGTTGGCGGTATAGGGCTTGAAAGTGATGACGTCAAAACGGCCAGGGAGTAGTAAACTGACATCAGATTTCTATTTTTGGATCCACTAAGGTGTGACTTTGCTATTGCCTAAGTATGTGGGTGCATAGCAACCCACTCATGTCGCATGCAGGTGTGACTTTTATTTCGCCACCAGTTGTAACCCCGCCCCCAGTAGCCAAATCAGTCAGTTTCACTGGTTACATCACCTTGCTGAGAGTAAGACGGCTTGAAATGTGCTTGGATCCATACAAAAACTGGATCCAAGTGGATCCAATTTTTGAATTTTTGAAATTGTTGCTATGCTGTGACGTAGCACTTTCAAGCCCTATAGGGCTTGAAAGTGATGACGTCAAAACGGCCAGGGAGTAGTAAGTTGACATCAGATTTCTATTTTTGGATCCACTAAGGTGTGACTTTGCTATTGCCTAAGTATGTGGGTGCATAGCAACCCACTCATGTCGCATGCAGGTGTGACTTTTATTTCGCCACCAGTTGTAACCCCGCCCCCAGTAGCCAAATCAGTCAGTTTCACTGGCTACATCACCATGCTGTGGGTAAGACCGCTTGAAATGTGCTTGGATCCATACAAAAACTGGATCCAAGTGGATCCAATTTTTGAATTTTTGAAATTGTTGCTATCCTGTGACGTAGCACTTTCAAGCCCTATTTGTGCTGTTTGCCGCACGCGGCAGCTGGATGGATCACGTGATCCAAGCTGACAAATAAGGTCCGATGGTTCAGCTACATTGAGCCACAAGCATCCCGAATAGAGCTGACAGCGTGACAGCCGGTGACACCCGTCACTGCGCCCCTGGCCCAGGCGTTGTGAATGTCTTTATGACTGTGAGTGTGATGAAGACTACAAAGTACAATCAATCATGTACTGACAGTCTGTCCTGACTCGGATCAGTCTGTTCAGTGATTATATTCATGGCCGGCCTTTTTTTTGCAGCGTGGCTTCACAATCATAAGATTCCCGTCACCACGATATCAGCTTCGGACGAAACTACAATGTAATGACATTTCATAGGGGATCCCGTCACCACGAGTCACGACTGTTTTCTCTCGCGCTTCCACGCCGTGTTGTGTAGTCAGGGAGCTGGCGGTGGATCGATAGTTTGCTACTTTCTATTACAATTTTCACAACGTCGGCCGACGCGAAAGGGTTGATTTAGCGACGCAACAACCAACTCTCGATCTCCTCTTTTGATTTCTGCCGTCGCCTTCCACGTCTGGCACACTGATATTATTGTGGGTATGATTGTGATAATGTGTCAGGGTATGGATCAAGGGAGTACTAAACATGTAGCATGATGATTCCGGACCTTTCCGGTCCGTGCTGGTCGGCAAGGCAGATACATGTAGCTAGCTGCCGATAGGCAATGGCGGATAATGCTCGAAAACTTCAAAAAAGGTGGCAGATTCTGCTCGATAAGCAGTGAAATAATATATTATGGTTCTGCCAATTTAATTGGCAGAACCATACCAAACTTATGGGGGAATTCTGCTCCATCTCTTTATCCACATACCAAACATGCATGAAACTTACCAGAAAAAGTACCGAATTCTGCCAATTTTTCTGCCGGCATTATCCGCAAAGGCCTAGCTGCCGACACTGCTCCTACGGCCTACCACTACTAAGTACAACACCTATTACTGGCATTAGATAAAATTGAAGACGCAGTTGGGCTGTATTCACCCTTCGAAGCTCTGCCGCTGCGCGCCATGTGCACAGAGAGACAGCAGAGTGCTTGATACAACTTACTCTTTTGTTAGCGTGTTTCCTTTCTGTCATACTACTGAGAGACAGTGAGAGTGTATGGCAATCTTATACGATGACAGTGCTCGCTTCAATGAATTTTGCTGTATTTGAGTAGGGTTCCAACTAACTTACTTATCCCATTCTTCCTTTCATGCGATTGTTTTCAGTACTTGAATGAATTGTGTTCTACTCCTCCATAATATTAATTGCAAATTGTGTTTTGTTTGCCCGTAAAAAGAGGCTATTCAATGACTTACTGTCATAATGACTGTGTGTACATGTATGTGTCACTGTGTGTGGGGGGGGGGGGGCAAATGTAATAAATTATAGCTTCTGGGGAAGTTCTGGTACACATCGACTCTTTCCCTTTCCGAGGTAGGCCCAGGTTGATGAAACTATAATACACTGTACTAGGCTCCGCGGAGCCATTCTTACTGCCAATACCATGTACCAATGTACCAATGTACCAATGTGGAGTAGCAATAGTATGTACCAATGTATCAATGTGTAGTAGCGAATTCAAGGCATGTTCTGGGAAACCGCTCTCGATAAAGACGGATCTCAGGAAGTCCAGTTCGGTTGATAACTTACATGAACCATCGGAGCAAATCCTCCGTTGATCGAGAAAATCAGATCTATTACGCGGTCAAGTTCCTGCCAGTATTTACTGTTGTCGTTGTTTTCTATATTTGAATTCGCTGAAACCAAACGGACAGAACTGTCCAGTGACAAGGGAGCGAATGATCAGCGCCATAATCCAATGCATCAAAACATCACGGGGCAAAATGAGACAGACTAGAAGGAGGCTGCAATGCCTGCGTTCACGATGTTGAAGGATGTCCTGCCAACCAACCGAGTCGTCTGGTCTACATTTTGGAGTGCCGGCAATGTCGGAGGCTACTAGTAGTAGCCGGTGTATCGGTAGAACTGCTCAACACCAGGCGTGGTCGACCGAGAAAGAAGCCTTTGGCACCTCAGGAATGCGTCCAAACCCACACCAGATGAGCACTTGCCTTCAGCACCCTCCGCTTTTCCCCGGCCAAAGTCGAAGTCCAGCACATGACACTACGCAAGACAAGACGTCTGAACGGTATGACGGGGCATTGTGTTCGTGACACACTGATAGGCTTAGAAAGAACCATGTACCACTGGAGCCACGTGCGAAGTGGATGTTGCAATCACGTCCACCGTTGGATCGGCATCGTGTCCCATTGGTACCGTCAGAAACGGTGGCTGGAATATCGAGTATTCTTACATGTACAGTACAGTCATGAACACGACATCGAAACACTGGACGTGGTAGGCCAATGATGGTTCCCTTCCCAGTGCCTTTGCCTGTGTGGTCCCCCCCCCCCCCCCACCTGTTGATACAATCCGCCTTTCCAAGCAATGAGGCGCAGCGTGACTGTCTACAAAATCAAATGTATATGTAGGTATGGCAATAGCAGCCGCCCCACTGGTGTCCCCCCCAACCCAATAGTGTTGGGAGGGGGGGGGCGGCGGTGGGGTGTTGGGCCAACACCCCACCGGCCCACCCCGCACCTCCTACGAATGCGGCGTCGGTTGACCCGCCAGGTTCAGTATCGATAGCATGGAAGGACCTTTCTTCCCTCCGCCTTTTTAAGAGCCTTGTCGCGCCTTGACTTTGATTTTGTGTTTCTCATTTTGTTGCAATCACTACTTATCCATGCCGGTTCCTTTTTTCTTCTCCTCCCCTTCTCCCTTCCTTGCCGTGGTTGGCTAACACCCTCTCTCTTTGTATTGGCCGGTGTTCTCACTGTGCTATGAGATGCTGCAATAAATAAATAAAATAAATGGCGTGGACACCCAGACGTACAGAGAGAGGGAGGAAAAATCAAACTGAGTCTGCAACAGTCCCAGTTGCGTTCGGAAAATGTGCAGCCCACCTTGGTTGACGCAGCGGAAATCTCTGCCCCAGCCTTTGCTGCTACAGCAGCAGAAACTTTCGAGATTGGAATGGAAATACCGACACTTGGGGTGGGTGGTCCCTCGCGGGCTAGTCATGACTCATGGCCCAAATTTGCTCAATTTGCTCCCAAATTTGCTCTGCCAAAAGCAATATTTTGCCCCACAATTTTCGATATTCTGCTTGGTATTTCCTTTCTCTGTTGATGTTTGCTTTCGTTTTGCTCGAGATAAAATGAGTTTCATGGAAAGGCTTACGATAACCGTGGCTGATGACGGCGGCAGTGTGTCCAACTTTTGTGCTCGTTTTCAACCTTGGAATTTGGTAAGTGTTGGGGAAACTGAGTCCCTTGGAACTTACTTAGGAAGCCTCCGATTTTCCGAGATGCCCACCAAAACTCGCCAAAACTCGATATTTTTTCTCAAACATGTAACTTACCGGCAACTAAGTATCCGATATTTTGCTCAAAGCTATGACTAGCGGCAGACTGGATGCCCGAGTAGGCCCAGACAGATCATCCCCACTGGATGCCCGAGTAGGCCCAGACAGATCCTTTCGGCAAAATAACCAAGGATTGAAAGAGCGGAAAATGCCGGCAAAACCGGAACAAATTATCGAGATGTTGGGTAAAATCGATGCCTGATACTTGGATTTCCTTGTTTCTTACCTGTTCAGCATGATACGCTGCCCAGGACGAGATCATGTCAGCGAAATATCACTGTGGGATTCACTGTGGGATTCACTGTGGATCGACATGATTTTGGAAGAACTCAGGGACACGGCTTTACTTGTAATTGTACAATGTTAATTGTAGTCGTCACGACACTACAGTAGTGCACTAGGGTCCTGACTAGACCATGCAGACTGGACTGGCGCGGATAATGTCTGCTTTTCGGTCTGCTCAAAATTCTGCTCGAAGGACATGGGGTTCTGCTGATTTTTCTGCTCAAAAAGTGCTCATCCGGTTGCATATCATTCTACATAATTATCCTATAAAAAATTGAGGAATCACCATCTTAAATGCGTGGTACCAAGAGTACATAAACCAGTACTCTTGGTGCTTGCATGCTGTACATGGCGTGAGTGGCACTGACTATGACTGAGTGCTGAAACAGATACTATTGCACTTTGACCTCTAAAGTACAGAACGAAGTCAAGCGCCAGCGCCTGCCACTTGTACTGTCGC